TGTGTGTGCATGCGCGCAATCCAGCTCACATTAAGCAAGTGAACAGACAGCATGTTTACAGTGATTCAGGCTGCCGATTCTCCCTGCTGGTGTTAGAAACTAAAAATATTTGGTGCCCTAATTCATTAAGCTATTACTGGGACAGAGAGCGGAGGGACGGCACACTTCAAAAGCAAGTTGCTTTTCTCATTTTGCTTTCTCATTTTCATTTGCTGTTTACTGTGCAAATGGAAAAATGGACGTCAAAAAGCTCACAAATCAATACATGCACTTACAAGGTAACTGTCGTCAAAAACAACATTGATACTAATGGACCACTCTGTCCATGCAGATACACACACATTACATCTACTCATGGGTGGAAACTATAGCCTCCACTCTGGACCAACTGAATTATTGAGCAACAGTAAACAGGAAGAGAAGATCCCACTGGAATATATGTGTGTATTTGTGTGTGTGTAATTGTGTAAGTGGCTGTGAGGGATGCCCCATATTTGGTTCTTTCTTCATTGCTACACTACATGTCTCTTGACATGTACACTCACGCACACATCAATCTTTATGCAGCTGTGAGTGCGAGGATTCTCACTGAGCTAAACCCAATTCTATCTCTAAACATAAAATGAGGTATTTTGAGAATCAACCAAAGTGGGGTACGGGAGTGGGAGTGGGAGTGTAATTGGGAATGTGTGTATTTGTGTATTAGCAGCCAGTGTACCAATTGAGGACAAGAGCATCTAACTATATAAAGTACAAAACAACATTAAAACATGGGCCAAATTTATGTTTACTCTTGTATGAGCATGGTCATTTTGGTGAGATAAATTTAACTACAAATAAAATAAACTACAGCAACATCCCAATCCATGACATTGGCTGGATGTTGACTATGGCATTAATAATCCCAATTATGTGTTCATCACAAAGGTTTCAGAGGGGGTGAATGCAAGTTATACCAGCTCTGACCAGTGGAAATTAAGTGTCATAGAAGCCTCTGTCCTGGTGCCCGTTGCCAGCGAAACCCCCACAATGCTCTTGGCTTGCCAACACAGAACTGCCTGTAGTCTGAGTGAACACCTCCTCTGGTCATCATTGCATTAAACAGTAAGAGGCTCTACGTGATGGAGCGATCAGGTACTATAGCTAATCTGCAAAACATATATGTACAGGGATTTTTCACATGCATCTAGAAAACACAGGTTTTCTCATTTTTTGGAGTCACACTACACCCTACCATCTCTACGCTACATTTCAGACAATGTCCTGCTGGAGCTGTACATGAAGGCTTCAAACCATCTACATGAAGCAAGAACTTGACTGCAGAAAATACATACGTGTTTTTTTTTGTTTTTTTGTTTTTTTTAAATGCCTTTAGAGTTGTTCAGTTTTCAAGCTTAAACGCTGAATTGATTTGACTAACTTTAATATACTTCAAGTGTGTATTACTTAGGGAAATGGTGTGGGATTAGGACTTTGTATTGGCAGACACTAAATGACTTGGGACACCCCTAATGAAAACCTTATGTCACAGTTTACAACAGAAGTGAGGTCACCCCTGTGCAATCCAGTTGCAAAAGAATTACAAGAGGAATGAACAAAAATGTATTTACAAACTTGAAAAAAGGATACAGGAAAATCAGTGCCCAACAAAAAATCTGTGGAGACAAAATTGCAATAGTAATTATGAGATATAGAACAACCCCCACAGTACCACAAATCTGAGACCATTTCGCTATAATGACGCAACAGACAGAGTTGTACTTCCTCAGTTTGGCTCCAAAAATCACACAGACAAGTGTTTCAGTTTAACTTTGCTAAAGAACATGAAAAGAATGATGAATACTGGGAACACATTCTTTGGCCAAATGAGACGAAGAAAATGTATTCTTTCAAATGGGGTCCAGCACAGGGTCAGAGCTACTACAGTGAATGCATAGTCCTGAAAGTGAAGCACAGAGGTGGGAATGTGATGATATAGGGCTGCATGATTGCCAGCCTCCCATGCCCTCTTCAAGGTGTCCTGTGGTTTGAAACACCAAGATGTTAGTGAAAGATCCTTTAAGTCCTGGAAGTTGCAAGGTAGGATCCCTAGTCTGACAGAGTCTGGTTCAGACTCTTGGATTTAGATCTGGGGAATTTGGATGCCAAGTCAACATCTTGGCATCTGTTACATTTCTTAAACCTTTCCTGATGATTTTTTTGGAGTGACAATGAGTATTATCCTGCTGGAAGAGGCTACTGCCATGAAGGGGTGTAGACGGTCTCCAGGGTAACATCCACAGGACCCAAAGTTTCCCAGTAGATCATTTGCCAGAGCATCACAATGTTTCCAGCAGCCCAACTTCTCCCCATAGTGCATCCTGCTGCCTTCTCTTCCCCAGATATATGATAGACATGCACACAGTCATCCACATGATGTAAAAGAAAACATGATTTATCAGACCAGGCCACCTTCTTCAATTGCTCCACGGTCCAGATCAGATTCTCACGCTGCCCGTTTATTTGCTTCCACATCAACTTCAAGAACTAACTGTTCGCTTGCTATCAAATATATCTCAACCTTTGACAGAAGTAATCGTAATTAGGTCAAGGTTTTTCACTTATCAGTAGTGTCAATGTTGGCTAAACTGTCTTCACTGGACCAAGAGTTACAACAACACAAATGTGAGTTAGCATTGTGGATCTGCTCCAGAACAAAGCTGCTTAGCACAGTTTCAAAAAGCCCCCAACTCAAATAACTTAGTAACAGGGACTCAGAATTTATTCGGCCATTTGTCGAAGGCTTATTTGGGTATGGGGCAGAGAGGTAGCAGGCTCAGAAAAATAGCCGATGCCCTCCTTCCTGGCTGCTTCCTTGAGCTCCCTCTAGGAGATCCCAGGGCGTTTTAAGGCCAGATGGGATATATAATCTCCCAGTGTGTTGTGGGTATGCCCCAGGGTCTCCTTCCAGTTGGATGTGCCTGGAAAACCTCCACAGGCATCTGGGGGTGTCTAATCCAACAGGAAAAGCATCTGAGCTGCATATGCAAAGGAGCAACCCAGATGTCAGTCCCCACACCAGGCAAAAGAAACTGATTTATCTTACTCACATCTTCTTTTGTGTGTGTGTGTGTGTGTGTGTGTGTGTGTGCGACCCAAAGTTCATTATCTACATGTGATAGTTTAGAGAAGGTTGGGTGGGAATTTTGCATGTCAGCAGGGTGAACTCCAGGGTTTCCTACCAAACTGAAACATTTTTAAAGACATTTACCAAATGCAAAGATAACAGGCATGCAGAGAAAACACTTGAGGGATTTCTATAACAAGTTTCCTAATTTATTCTTCACAAGGCAGTTTAAATTTGTTAATGAGCGTCTCCCACTGCTTCATGTCTGAGATGCACAATAGAAATAGTGGAAATGTCAAAGATGTTTGTTTGTGTGTGTCACTGGGACAGTCTGCTAAATATCCAAAGCCATCACAGAGAGTGACACAGACTGACAGGTATTGGGTAAATCCACAGACTGCCTTAAAACCACAGAGGGACTGCTCACATCTCGCATGACAGCAAACAACAAAGCTCTGCCTCTGAAGAACAAAACACCTCTACTTTGTCTGTCTCTCCTCTTGAGTGCTTGATAAGAGCTGAGAGCTGTATGGAGACATGAAGGCGTTATGTGGGCTGGCTGCTGGAGTGTGTGGGAGAAAAGCATCAAGGGTCTGTACATGACACGAGAGAACAAGTCAGGAGATAGCCACATGCTGCTGTTCAACAGACATGGCTCAGCCTTCCTTTCTGGTTACAGTGCAACAGAAGTAAAGATGCAACCACGCTATAATTAGAGTTCCGTTTTGGTTGTAATAGAGTCTGTGGTGTGATTTTAGGATTCATTGTGCATATTATAAAAAAGGAACTTCTGAAATTTTAAAATAGGTACACATTCACCTTCAAAGTCCAAGTTACAGTCAGCAGCCAACAATCTCCCAAATGATCACTGTATGTTTTAAGTTAGCATCACTTGTTACCCTAAAATATTCTCATAAATGCTTAGTGGTGGATCGCAGTGGAAATCTCACCTCTGTGATATCTGTGGTAAAAAGCTTTATTCTATAGGACACATACAAGTACAGACATATTTTCTGAGTGACTGTAGCGTAGGAGTACTTGAATTAAAGTTAATCCATATGGCTTTTGNAGTGGATAGTCGTTGATTTCTTTCTTCGGATCGAGTTTGAACTGAACTGATTGAACTGAACTGATTGAACTGAACTGATTGAACTGAACTGATCGAACTGAACTGATCGAACTGAACTGAATACAGAATTGAACTGAACTTGATTGATAACCTGATAGGATATAATGCTGTTTTATGTTCTTGTGTCATGTTATTGAATTGTTGAGGTAAGTGTTAAAGCCTAATAGTGGATATTAGGCTTTCCCATATGCAATTTTGGGAAAAAACTCTGAGGTGTTCACACGAGGTTTTGTGAAACATTACCATTGTTTTGAAGTGAATAGAAACTTAACAAGTGAACTTATAAGTTTGTGAAACCTTACCATTGATCAAAAGAGAAACTTAACGGATGAACTCAAAGGTTTAAATAACTGAACCAACATTGCTAAAATCCCAAAGTTAACACAAAAGACCGGTCTTAAATAGGAATCCTTATTTGAAACTTAATATAAAAATTAGGTTTAAAGCAACAAATACCAAACCTTATTTTGAACTTAAAGGTTATAAACAAAGGGTTAAGTGTGGAAAAAAACTTGACATTGGTGTGAATGTGTACTGTATATGTGTGTGTCTATGTTATTAAATTGCCGGCTTTAAGTTTAAGGATTTTTAGGTCTGGTCTCTTGATTTTAATTACACTACCACTCCTCCGAACCTAGAACTGGTCCAGTAGCTCCAAATTTCCTGTGTTACAGCGACATAAGTGCTACATAAATCTTGGCGAGCCAGCCAGGAGTGGTTTATGCTAATTATCTAGAGACCAGACACCTCTAAACTAGACCAAATATGGAAATTGTCCAACAAAGCAGTGTTAAAGTTCCTAACTCAGTCATCGTTAGTGGTTTAATTGGGACAGAAGCTGATGAGGAGCTTTTTGACTTTCTCAAACAGAGTGGCTCCATTGTGAGAATCATTCCTTTAGACACACCTCATCTAGATACAGGCAAGCAGGCCATAGTAGAGTACACATATGGCACAGCTGTTCAGTCACTCTCACCCTTGTTACCATACAAGCTCCCATCTAAGACACATACAGACATTTTCTATCATATTGACGCTTTAAGCAATGTGTATACACCAGTTGTTAGTAAAACGGCTACACAGACTTACCTCACAGAGCTAAGAGACATAGCAAAACAGACTGGCAGAGACTTTGCCGCTGTTCTCAAAGAAGAACTGTCTAAAATCAGTGAAGCCGTTGACTCTGATGATACAGATGTCCAAATTGAGCACATGGAACCTGATCTACCTGATGCTCCGGACCTGCAAGCACCAGCACAGGTGAGTCCTCAACCTAGTGTTGTTCCAGAGCCAATGATCCAGCCCCAAGGATGGTCCTTGCCCCTACCTTCAGCATCTGCTGAGAAACGAACACCTGCTTTGAAACTTGATGTCAACCCACCTGAGCTTCAAAGGGTAATAGTGGAGCACATAGTCAGATCTGAGGATACTGCTGCGCAAGTACACACATCCTTCAGACTCAGACCCTTTTCTGGGCGTCGTCCCTGCCCTACCAATGAAGTTGATTATGAGACTTGGCGCTCTAATGTAGAACTTCTCTTGAAAGACGTCAAACAGTCAAACCTTCATAAATCACGAAAGCTTCTTGAGAGTTTGTCATCCCCTGCCATTGATATCGTGAAACACCTTTCACCTGAGTCACCTCCTATTGTGTACTTGGAAATCCTTGACTCCGCCTTTGGCACGGTCGAAGATGGCGACGACCTCTTTGCGAAGTATCTTAACACCATGCAAAACCATGGCGAAGAACCTTCAGCCTATCTTCAACGGCTGCAAGTCATGTTGAACACCACCTTCAGGAGAGGAGGCATAGCTGCAGGAGACCACGACCGACAGCTTCTGAAGCAGTTTGTAAGGGGGTGCTGGGATAATAACTTGATATCTGAGCTACAACTAGAACAAAAGAAACAGAACCCACCTACCTTTGCCGAACTCCTTCTTTTGCTCCGCACTGCGGAGGATAAACGAACTTCCAAAGCATCTCGCATGAAACAGCACTTTAGTGCCTCAAAGCCTAAAGTGTACTCACAGTATCAAAGCGCCACTGCACGTACTCAGGAGTGCATGTTGCCATCAGCAGCAGCTGATTCCTCGTCTGAAATTCAAGACCTGAAGAGGCAACTTGTAGATTTACAATCTCAGCTTACAAGACTCACACAAAACAGTAGCAGAAAAGATACTAAGAAACTACCTCCGAAACAAACAGCTACTAGCTTAGCCACACCTAAGCCCCCAGCTAACAGTTCCAGACCACAGAGGCTGCAGTCCCCCAGCCAAGACAAACACCACACCACAAGTAATCGCCCGAAACCCTGGTATTGCTTCAGGTGCGGTGAAGATGGGCACATAAAACCCCAGTGTGAAGCTGACCCAAACCCCTCTCTAGTGGCTTTGAAGAGAAAGCAACTGAAAGATAAGCAGTTGGAATGGGACCTTAAAAATGGCCCTCCACTACATGACACTTTAAACTAAAAACGGTTCCTGTTGAGGGGCAAACGGGAACTGCAACACAGAAAAAGAGTCCCAAAAAGAAGCAAGGTGCATCAAACATGCACTCTCACACCAAACCCCAATCAGTCACACTACCAAAGGGACTGGTTGGTGCTAAATGCACCGCACAAGTAATCATAAGCGGTCATGAATGTAGTTGTTTACTGGACTCTGGGTCCCAGGTGACAACAATCCCTGAGTCATTCTACCGAGAAAACTTGTCTCACTTACCCATCCATTCCTTGAATGACCTGCTGGAAGTCGAAAGTGCCAATGGTCAAAACGTACCTTACCTTGGTTACGTTGAAACTGCCATCACATTCCCAAAGATTTCACTGGGTGTTGACATTGAGGTACCAACATTAGCCCTGATTGTGCCTGACATGCGTTCCAGTCTATCATCCCTGCTCATAGGCACTAATGCTTTGGATATCCTTTATGAACAGTATTCAGACATTGCACTTTCAAACCAGCATTCGCTCTCTTATGGCTACAAGGTTGTCTTGAAAACCCTGGAGGTAAGGAAAAGACAGTGTGTTGATTCCAGCCTGGGAAGCTTGAGACTACACAGCTCTGATTCTGAGATCATTGCTGCTGGTGAGACAAAAGTTCTTGAAGGATCAGTGGCCTGCAGGATGCCAAATGCTGGAAGATGGGTGATGGTCGAGTCACCTAAATCAACCTCCTTACCTGGTGGTTTACTAGTCACTGATGGACTGGCAACTCTTCCATCCAAGCTTCCGCGCTGCATCCCAGTTATCCTAAAAAATGAGTCAGATCATGATATCACTCTTACCCCAAAGACTGTGATAGCAGAAATACATGCTATCCAGAGTGTTCAGTCTGTTGACCCACAAAGTGCAGGTCCTTCCACAAAGCCGAACCACAAGTCAAACCTAAACTTTGACTTTGGTAGCTCTCCAGTACCCAACGAGTGGAAAGAGAGAATTACTGACAAACTGAACTCCATGCCAGAAGTGTTTGCACAGCATGACCTTGACTTTGGTCGTACTGATAAAATTAAACACCATATAAATCTGAGTGACAAAACATCTTTCAAACACAGAGCGAGGCCAATACACCCGCAAGACATACAAGCTGTGCGTGACCATCTGCAACAACTGCTTGACGCAGAAGTCATACGTGAGTCTGAATCACCTTTTTCGTCCCCAATCGTGGTCGTTAAAAAAAAGAATGGAGATGTCAGACTCTGTATAGACTACAGAAAGTTGAACCTCCAAACGGTAAAGGACTCATACGCCTTACCTCATTTGGAAGAATCCTTCTCTGCGCTGAATGGATCCAAATGGTTTTCAGTGCTGGATCTTAAATCTGGTTTCTACCAGATAGAAATGGAGGAGTGCGATAAGCATAAAACTGCCTTTGTCTGTCCACTAGGGTTCTATGAGTTTAATAGAATGCCTCAAGGCATCACGAACGCCCCTAGCACGTTCCAGAGGCTAATGGAGCGCTGTATAGGAGAACTTAACTTGAAACAAGCTCTTGTCTTTCTTGACGATCTCATCGTCTTTTCCTCAACACTCGAGGAACACGAGGAGAGGCTGTTACGGGTGCTCAGCCGATTAAAAGAGTTTGGCCTGAAACTATCGCCAGAGAAATGTAAGTTTTTCCAGAGCTCAGTGAAATATCTAGGCCACATCATCTCTGAAGACGGCATCCAGACAGATCCAGAAAAGATCACAGCACTCAAAACCTGGCCAAAACCAAACACTTTGAAGGAACTCAGAGCCTTCTTGGGCTTCTGCGGTTATTACCGCAGGTTCATCAAGGACTACTCAAAAATTACAAAACCCCTCAATCAGCTCACTGCTGGATACCCACCTTTGCGGAAACACACAAATCCCAAAGCAGATACTGGGAAATATCACAGTCCCAAAGACCCATTCGGGAACAGATGGACCTCTTGCTGCCAAGCAGCATTTGACACAATCATTGAAAAGTTGACTACAGCTCCCGTTCTCGGGTTTGCAAACCCCAAATGTCCCTATGTTTTGCACACGGACGCTAGCACCTCAGGTCTCGGTGCAGCTCTTTACCAAGAGCAAGAGGGACAAAAGCGAGTCATCGCTTATGCAAGTCGTGGTCTGTCAAAATGTGAGGCGAGGTACCCCGCCCACAAATTGGAATTCCTTGCCCTTAAATGGGCAGTAACAGAGAAATTCCAGGATTATCTTTATGGCAGCCCATTCCTCGTTATCACAGACAGCAACCCGTTAACATACATCCTCACCACTGCTAAGCTTGACGCCACAAGCTACAGATGGTTGGCTGCTCTGTCAACATTCGACTTCCAGTTGCAATACAGAGCAGGGAAGCGGAATCAGGACGCAGACGGGTTGTCTAGACGTCCGCATGACACACAACCTGATGATATACTGTCAAAGAAAGAGCTTGAAAGGATACAACAGTTCACGCAAAGACATTTGCTGGAGTCTGACCAACCAAATCTGATCGACGAATGTGCTGTCAAAGCCATTTGTGAAAAGCACCTTGTTCACCAGCTGTCAGATGATGGGCCAGGAGAGTTAGTCCCCACCACCTCCTTGGTCCTGTCGCTTTCTCATCACACAAAGGCTATCCCAGAAAGCTTTCAAGAAGAGGAACGGCTTGGTGGCTTACCTGTCATCCCCCATTTCACAACATCTGAACTGAGGAGCAAGCAACAGGCCGATGCCTGCATCCGAGAGGTGCTTAACCAGATGGAGTCTGGAGAAAGGCTTTTGCCATCTCTCAGAAAGGAACTCCCTGAACTCTTTCTTTTGTTAAGAGAGTGGAACCGACTTGTGGTTCAAGATGGTGTTCTATACCGGAAGCGACAAGAAGGTACACAAACACAGTATCAACTGGTGCTGCCTGATGAGTTAAGACCTTTAGTCTTAAAAGGTCTACATGATGATATGGGCCACATGGGTGTGGAACGGACTCTAGATCTGGTTCGAAGACGCTTTTATTGGCCCAAAATGTCTGTTGACATAGAAAGCAAAGTCAAAACCTGCAATCGTTGCATACGGCGCAAAATGCCACCAGAGAAAGCTGCACCACTGGTGAATATCACAGCTACAAGACCCCTTGAGCTTGTATGCATGGATTTTCTCACCTTAGAACCAGACTCTCGTAACATCAAAGATATCCTAGTTATCACGGACCATTTTACAAAGTATGCGGTAGCCATACCTACCTCCAACCAAAAAGCACAAACCGTCGCCAGATGCCTTTGGGACCACTTCATCGTCCACTATGGTATTCCAGAAAGGCTTCATAGCGATCAAGGTCCAGACTTTGAATCTAAAACCATAAAAGAACTCTGTGAGCTGGCAGGCATTCAAAAGGTGAGAACGACACCATACCACCCAAGGGGGAACCCTGTCGAACGTTTTAACAGGACACTATTGAACATGCTAGGTACACTGGAAAACCACAAGAAGAGTCACTGGCGCGAGCATGTTAAACCTTTAGTACATGCGTACAACTGTACTAAAAATGAGGTTACTGGCTTCACCCCTTATGAACTTATGTTCGGCCGACAGCCAAGGCTGCCAGTTGACCTAGCCTTTGGTCTACCAGTTGCCCACCAGCCAGGTTCACACTCACAGTATGTTCGCAACCTGAAATCCCACCTCGAAACCAGCTACAAGGTAGCGACAGAAACTGCTAAGAAAACAGCAGATCGCAATAAAGCGAGGTTCGACAAAAATGTTGTTGACTCCACCTTGGAAAGAGGCGACAGGGTCTTGGTTAGGAACGTTCGCATTAGAGGCAAGCACAAGTTGGCCGACAAGTGGGAGTCGGATGTGTATGTTGTCGTGAGACAGCCAAGTGGCCTCCCAGTGTATGTTGTACGGCCTGAGACCAAAGATGGTCCACTGAGAACCCTCCATCGTGACCTCCTCTTGCCATGCGGGTTCCTTCCTGCTACCCCAATTGAAGCAGAAACCTCTGCAAAAGAAAAGCCTAGGCGACCAAAAACTCGCCAGCAGACACAAACTGAGTGTTCAGATTCCTCAGAGAGACAGGAAACTGACTCAGAAGATTACGATCCCCCCTATCTCTATGATCACAGGGATGTAGTAGTCGAGACCACAGCCTCCTACTTTCCCCCTGAAACCGACAAATCATTGCAAAGATATGTATCTGAACCCCTTCCAGTGCCTACTGTTGAGCAAGATCCTACAGACTCAGCCAGAGCCTTACCTGAGGATGTTCCAGTGGCAACTGCAGAAAGCGACTTACCTGAACCAGATCCAGTTGAAACCAACTCACCTGAAATGGACATTGAGCAACATGTTTCGAGTGATGCGAGTCCTGAAATAGACAACCAATCAGAAGAAATTAGAGGTGATATCCATTCATCTACTCCTGCTGAAATTGAACAGCGTGAGAACAACAGTGACGATAGTGACAGTAACACCGATCATCACTTAAGACGGTCTACCAGACATAGGGAACCTGCACAGAGACTGACTTATCCTGAGCTAGGTAACCCATTAATCACAATAGTTCAGTCACTATTTCAGAGTTTAAGTGCAGCAATCATAGATTCTTTAAGTGAACCTGAACCAAAGAAACTCATAGATGTGTAGTACTATGCACAGGGACGTGCATTGGAAAAGGAGGGGAGGATGTAACCCAGGTTACAAACCCTCACAATAAATAGAATTTAAATAACAATAAATAAATGAAAGTTCATGACAATTCATATTTTATGTAATCTTTATTTTAAAAACTGTTAAAAACACATTGTGTGGTTAACGCCTGGGGCCGTGGGGGGGCATGCAGGGACTCCGGGAGGCACGGAGGAG